TAACGTATAATAGGCTTGCCTATATTGAGATATTAATTTGTTCAATGTGAAAATTAGTTATACTTGCAATTCTTCTCCAATATTTATAGTTGGTCAATAATATGTCTTGGTTTATTGCATATCAATTCGAAGGTTATATCTATATCAACTGTATCTTTTTTTCATATCAAAAACTGGCATATTGAATCACTCTTAAATAGCAAACACTTTCAAGTAAATACACGCACTTCAAATTTAATTTAGTATGAATGGAAACTACTCGGAACAATGCAAAGAGAATTTTTATACACTCTTTTATTGGAATTTAAGCATAAATCTTCAAGCCGAAAAGCCCGAATGCCAGACAACTACAAAAGCTGCATTTATTAGACAATATCTGAACATTATGAGCATTAAGAGACTCGTGTGTATTGACAACTCATGTTGAATTATGGCCGCTTATTGGGCTTTGTTAACATTTTTCTGCGAAAGTTTGCCAAACATTTTATTTTATTTTTTTTTGTAATGCTGTCACAAAAGTCCTTGCTGCTGTTGCTGTCGCTTGTAAGTCGTAAGTTGGCATTGTGGCCGAGAAACCCTTTCAAGTCGTTTGCCACTCGCTGAGCTGCCACGGATTTGCACGGCTTGCTGCTCGTCTTTTCAGCTGGCCAACAACAGCCACAACAAACATGTAGCGAATGCAATTTAACGCTTCACTGGCAGTTATGAAGGACGACAGCGATGAGGACGCTGATGAGGACGATGACGATGACGAGGGCGAGAACGATGATGAGGACGATGACGATGACAAGCGCTGAAGATGCTTTTCAATAAGCTGCAATTGAGTTGCTTAGCAGCGTGTGGCAATTTGCATAAATTGGCTTGAACACACTCTCATACGAGTGTTTGTTTGCTTTTTTTAAAGTAGTTGCGTCGTGCTTATGTCACGGCTTAATTCAATTAAAATGGATTACGCATACGCCATATACGGCATGGTCACAGCAGTGAAAATAAACATTTAAATCAAAAACTAGCCAAAAGGTCAATGTAGCTTCAAGTTTTTGCTGTCAAGTCAACTACCTTTTGGATCAGTTGGTTGGGTTAGTTTAGTGTGTGTTTGGATTTGGGTTGGGTATATTGGGACTGGCCGCAACAATCCGCAAACAAATCCTTGATTTATGCGCACATCCTGGCGCACAAGCCAAACATTTATTTCCTTATCCACTTGTGCCAATGCGATTTGGCCATCCAACGTCTTTGGCCCTGGCCAGCAGTAAAACTCAGCCATATAGTCGCAGACAATGAAATGGACACGAGCAAACACACACAAGGACACACACACACACGCACAACACACACGCACACTCGAGGACCTGCGAGGGGCAATCAAATGAAAGCAAACTAGCGCCTGAGCTAACTGCCATTGTCAGCTGTTGCCGTTGTTGCTGCCGTTGTTGCTGCTGTTGCTGCTGTTGTTGCTGGCTTCTGGTCAGTTGTGTGTTGACGATGATTTAGTATTATGTTGCTCGCAAGGATTTAGTCGTGTACTCGAGCATGTCTCGCCCGTGCAGCCCGTGCAGCCCGTGTGCAACCTGCACATTTCTATAAGTATATACATATATATATATATATATATATACAGAATATATTTGTTCAACTTTGATACATAACCTTGAATGCGGTTTGAATGCTGTTTGAATGTTTGCCTTTGCATTCATCTCAATCTCAATGCCGCAATGAACTTCAGCCAGAGTTTCAGTTTCCTTCTTGCTGGCTTGCTTGCTTGCCACTAGCTGCTGTTTGCTTATTTGTACAAATGGCTGCTCGTTGTCTGTTGGCTATGTCTGCATTTGTGTGCGTGTTCATAAATTCACTGACTGCTGCTGTTGCCGTCTGTTCGAGTGGAATGCTGTATGCTGTATGCTCTGTGTGTGTGTAAAAATTCTAGATAAATGATCTTTTGTCGCTATGTGCGCGTAGATATTTTAATATTTTGCCTTGAAGCTGGCTAAAAGTCCTTGACTAAGGGCAAATCAAGTTCATGGCAATGCACCGGCAACGGCAATAGCAATCCGGCCAACAGCTGCACTTTACTAATTCCATAAACACTGGCAAATCGTCTGAGCTCTCTGGCTCTAAGCTTTTGGCCCTGGCTCTGGCCCTGGCTGTGGCTCTAACTCTGCCGCGTTGCAGACGCCGTGTGCTTGCTATGCTGCACACGATTTTCTGTTGCATACTTTTGCGCGTCGAGCGCATCCTAATCCAGCAGCAGCAACAGCAGCAGAAGCAGCTTGTATCTTGTGTAAAACCTGTATCTATGGCACACAGCTAACTATGGCGTGACTTCACTAACAAGCCTCTTCGATGTTGCCTTATTAATGAGCCGGTATAATTACGCACTTTCGTGCTAAAGACCTCCATACGCACAGTGCATCAAAAACTGTATAAATTGATATATAAAATCTATTGTGGCACACAACTTACAATCATAAACTCAAGAGCTACTTTGTTAATTCTATGACATTGTCAAAGGTTTGTTTATTGCTGAAATCGTAATCTTAAACTATCCACAAACATGTTTATTCCACCTACGACCTTATCGAGGTACACATTGGAAGCTGTAAATGCATCTGGGGATTAGACTTATTATCCTATCACTGTATTTACTCGTAGAACTCTTGTAGCTTATAATTTTATTGCGGTCAGTAAGCGTGCGCTCGAAGTGATTATTTCACATCTCTATTTGTCTTATCATTGTTAGTTTAAAGAGTACCAGTAGATCCATAAGTTAAAATTTGTCTTCGTTCTATTATTTTTAGCTTTTCTATTTTTGCATTTTGTTATAAATTGCAATTATTTTGAAAATCGGCTTAGTTTCGATAAATTGATTCGAGAAAATTAATCAATTTTCCAAAATTTCCGTTCTAACATCTAAATGTAGTTGTAAGTTAGAATGATCTATTGAAAATTAATTATAATTCCAGTGAAAAATGCATATTTTTGATGAGGGGTACTCTCCTCAAACCGTAGCCTTTTTCTATGTATTTATATTTATTTAAATGTCAATCTAATGTCTATCTAAATTGATCTGAATAACATAGCATTGGAAAATTGGTTAAGAACTGGGATTGGTTGTTGAAAATGGAATTTTATAATACGAAATATTCGCTACAAAGCTTACCACTTTTCAAAGTATTTCGATTCATATGATTTGGCAGCAAAAATAATGTAGGAAATACTACCACTTTAATCTTCTTCGATTTGCAGTTAATTTGTATATATTGTCCCCGTTGTTTTTGGTTGTCTGTTTGTTAGTTGCGTACCACTGTGCAATGCGGCAGCCGGCGCTTTCTCGACTGAAATTAACACGAGGCCACTAAGCCGTAAGCGCTGCCACCACAAAGAAAAACTAATTTTCTGCTGCTGATTTCAAATTAACTGAATGAATGACTGAGCGAATGCGAGACTCAGATAAATACACTCATACCTATATATATATATATATATTATATATATATACTGCGTATAACAGATCTAAATGCCATAATGATGGCAAGAAGCCAGCGACTGCTCATGTTTCATTGGGATTTGCGGCTTGTGGCTTAGTTTATGTTTTGGGTTACGCGTTGTAAATTGAATTTAACTATAGCCGAGGGTAATTTTTAATTCACAGTATTGCTTTTTTGCGCTATATACTGATGTACTTAGACCCAAATGTCCTTACTGCTATGCACCTGCGCCCGTAATTAGGCAACGGCAATTACCTCAGCTGGCCATTGCCCACTGAAAGTTGGGCTAATAAAACGCATAACTTTTTGTTGAGGGCCGCTATGGAGGCACGTTAAAGGCCATGAATTTCAATTGTACATTCCTCTAAAAAGCAAAAACACCCCAAGCAAGCAGCACCTTGACTCTGTCTTATGAATTTTCATCAAAATCGTGCCATGTGCGTTTTTATGTCCTTGGCAACGCATTAAATTTTTTATTGAGCCTACAGGCAAAAGATGTTCGTTCTTGTCACATTCTAGGCGTTCTACAGTCAAACATTTATTCATAACGCCCACACATTATATTTATTTGATTTAATTTTTGGTCTGATGTTTAATTAAAATCAAGATTATATTGTGTAACGTTAAGGTTCTTTAGTTAATACCACTCGCTCTCAAGTACAGCCGCAATAAAAAGCTCAGCAAATTTGCGTTACTTTGCTGGCTGCCTCGAATTGAATCAGCGAGAAACCATCGACCGATATTTGTGGCCTAGCAATTATTTAATTTTAACGCTTGAACGCTTTCGGCAACGACATATGAAACTTGCCAGTTTGTCGAAGAATGAGAAAAATAAAAATGCAATAAAATAAAATAAAATAAAATAAATGAACCGTAGACACAGCCAGGGCTGTTTGAACTATATCGGAAAATAATAATTGAAACTGGGCTGATTTTATTTTATTAAATTGAATAGTTGATATGTCCAGAAAGCTTAAATCATTTCATTTTTTGCTTTGTGATTTAATTGAAAAGTTTACTGGACTTTGGTCATACTTAATCGGTTTAGGTTGGAAAGAAAATAATATTAAATTATTATTAAATTGTTTACAAATGTTTTTGTCACCTATGTGACAAAAATAAACTAATAAATTCTCAATCATCTTACATGCAAAATATAATTAAGCTAAATATTTGAACTGGATAATTTTACACATTAACATATTCATACAAACAAAAATAGATAATTAAATAAGTAAATAGTAATTGTAATTTATGCATACATCCCTGGCACATAAATACTACAATTGCAATGCGAATTTATTAAATAAAAACAAAATAAACAATCGCCACAAGTGGCAATCTTAAGCCTCTAAACAATTTCAAATGGTTATTATTAATATTGTTTTTACTGGTGTCGGCCACAATTGATTTTGTAATTTGATTTGATTCGTCGATTTCGCAGTCAAGTCAAAAGGAGTTTGTCTTACATTTATCTGACGCTCTCTTCTATTAAATCTTCTTTGTTTCCAGTGCTGAGCAAGGGCCAGGGAGAGACGAGTCGCTATCGTTTTCTTGGCAAATGTGGCGGATACTGTTGGATCGTGACTCAGGCGACGATTGTCTACGATAAGCTAAAGCCACAGAGTGTTGTGTGCGTCAATTATGTCATCAGGTGAGTCGACTCGTTTGACAGTTTTACTAACTACTATGTGGCCTATATAAGTATATAAATATATATATATATATACTTGCCATGCCATTAATGAGTCTGAATTGAGCTGCTGTTAACTGGCAGCAAACAATGCCAAATATTTGCTCATTACACGCTGCGGACTGACGCAGAATAGGTGGATATATACGGGGGCAGTTTGTTTTCAGCATTATTTTTTATCTTTTAATTAAATGCTGCTGAAGACGGTAATTTGCGGCAGCAATTTATTGTTAATCAAGCGTATTTAATTTCCCGTTGAAAATATTTAAACAGGCGACTTTTTAATATGCGTTACCCTACTCAACCTACTCATCGCACCCAAACCCATCAACAGTCGCTTCATTGATCTGCAAACGGCACGAAGACAAGATTTCCATATAGATGCAAAAGAATTTTCCATGTAAAATGCTCTCAAATAATTGTGTCAGTCAGCGGCAGGCCGAAGTCATCAGAATTGATTTGATTTGCAAATCTCTCCTTAATATACCCTGTACACATTAATTGATTAGCTTATAGGGTATAGATTCGTTGTGAGAATTATACAAATAGTTTTGTTTTGGAATTATTATTTTAACATCATTAATAAAACTTGCAAATTAGTTTTTAAAATATTTTCTCACTTTAGTGTATTTTTTAAATATTCGTTCAGGGTATTCCCTTGTCGAGTTAGTCTTGTTTGTTTACTCAAAAATATTGTCAACCGCGGGCGGTGCCTACAATTTCCGTCAATTGATTGAAAATGCGCCTGACAACATGGCGTATACTCAATCAGAGCACAAAATTAACATTCGTAGGCAGCTTGAAATGCTTTTAGTCGGCTCCTGCGTGGTACTCCCACTTTTCATATTCCACGTGTATCCATCATACATATTTATGCACTACTCTACCCCCTAACAAAATGCTTCCTTTTTATATATACCCTTTCAAAGTGCCTCACACACACACACACACACACACACACAGTAAAAAGAGAATTTGTTGTGTCTGTTAATTTGCGTGTGCATTATGGAAATTGTTTATGCGCTGTACGTGTCGAGACCTTTTAACGAATGGCCCTCGTACTCTCTTTCACACAGACACACACCATCGAATAAATAAATTAAAATCAAAAATCCCCTATTATTTCAAAACCGCTTTTGGAATGTTTATATAAAGTTATGTTAAAGCTAGATAAGTCTATAGTCGAATGGCTTATTGATATTCTAAATATGGTCACAGAGAAATTGAACTTTTAAAGCAATTAATAAATTTTAGAGAATTACAATAGTTGAAATGTTTTCGATGCCGTTTTCCCTTCAATATAAAATGTATCAAATTCCCTCCCTTTAATTTGTATTTCTTTCAGGTTGAGCGTAAGTATCCAATCAAAAATTATTTAATACTTCTCTTAAATTAAGCGTTAATGAGCAAATATTTGTGCATTGTTTGGTTTTTTGTTTGTTTGCACGATTTCCGGTTGTCGTGTTTCCCATTTTTGTGACAGCCAAAAAAAAAAAAAAAAAGGAAAAAAACGAAAATGAAAATGTGTTTTTAATTGCCATATCAGTGAAGGTTATTCGGTTGTTTCTTATTTTCATTTGGTTTGCTCCCACTCCGAACTAAGTTCGACACAGGAAAAAACTGATGACCACGTGCCGTCATCGTTTGTCAGTTAGGTAATTTATTTGATTCAGTTAAATTATTAATCATATTATTGGGTATAACGACAAACCTTTAACCTTAAAATATGCCATTCATAAATGAATGTTCATCATTTTTCCATATACCGAACCAACCCAAAAATATATGTACCCTTAACCCTTAAGCAGATGCAGAGTTATCTCACTTGGCTGCTGAAAATTCAATTTATTTTTTATGGATCGTTTGATTTTCAAGAAACTGCTTTAAGAAAATACTTTAATTTTTATACATTCACTCTGAATTTTTAGTTAAATTCAATGAAATACCCTTAGCCAAAAATCTTTTATGCTTTAATTTGGGGTATTATTTATTGTCACATGTTCTAAATTAGCTTCAGTTTATAATAATTCTCCGCTTTGGCCAATGTTGAGAATAGCTTGAGAGAATTTATAATAATTTACGCTCGTGTGCATTTAAATAATAATAAATTTTATTGGATGCTTTTGTTCTGCTTTTTATTGTCGTCGCTCTGTTGTGGACATTGTTGTTGTTGTTGCTGCTGCTGTTATTGTTGTAATTGTTGTTTGTTTGCTTAATTGAAAAATAAAATTACAAAAGCGCACTGCGAGCCCAAGTGCGAACGAGACAGCAACAGTGACACAAGACAGAAATATTCTGTTGCCTTGCCAAATAATTCAAAAACGTTGACAAAGCGATTTTCTATTTGATTTTCCTACCCTTTCCCTTTACTTATTGCTTATTGCTGTTACTTGGGCGCTTGGCATGCTGGGTTAGATGGGTCAAGTGTTCGGTAATTGGTATCTGGTAAAAAAAAACGTGAATTTTAATTGATGTACATAATACAAATTGAGCATAGTTCGTTTATGTTTGATGCGATGATAAGCAATATTGTTGCTTGTTGTTACCTGCTGCTAATGGGCCAAGTGTCTTGGCTAATGATTTTGGCAAGGCCTCAAGGCCGTTTCCCCGTCAATGAGTTTGTTGCGAATGCGTAATGTTCGCTCTGTTGTAGCTATTTATGGCTGATATGTCGCAGTTGTAATTGCCGTGAGATTATCCCCACGACGAGTTTCGCTCTTGAATCTTCGCCACGAATTTAATTACAGTACGACAAGTAAGAAATCGCATAGCACATAAAACTAACAACGTTTGCATAGCGCTTGTTGTCCATTGCACAATACTCTGTGTTTAGTAAAATAATCTGCAAAAATTTGATGGATAGAAAAACAAAGCAGAAAGCTTGAAGTTAAAGCTCTCTTTTAATCATTTGAAATTCTAAACTAAGAAATAATTTATTTAAATCATATGAAGAATTGACATGACTTGCAATGTTGTGCAAGGCGTGCCAAATATATTTATAAAATAAAAGAGGATATTATATTTATATATATATCTGCCAACTTATATAATAGCCGAAAGGAAGACTTTCTTCGTATTCACAATTTGATCTCAGAGATAATAGAAGAGCGAATTTTATTTAATTTTATCGATAACTGATCCGCTTCTCGAAGCACAAAATATATCGATTACCAATAGCAATAAAATCTATAATTTTAAAAATATATTTATGTATTATTATTGATCAACTGTAAAAAAAAAAATCCGTAGTTTGAGAAACAATGCTGAAATTAGGTAAACACTTGTGTATAGAATATATCAAAGTCGAGCTCTCTCGACTAGAGCATTCTAAGTTTTTTTATGAATCTAGTTTGAAAATTCGATCAGATATAGAATTTACAATTATAAATCCACATATAAATTTATATACAGCCAGCATAAACCGAATATGCTCCATTTGTGTTTGGAAAAGCGGGAAAATTGTCAGCCGGTCTAATTAACATTGATTAGTTTAGTAAGGATACAAAAAATTTGCATTTTGTTCGCGCGTGTTGCATAATTTTGGGCGACTTTGCGAGTTGCTTTTAATTTGTATGTTTTTGTTCTTGTTCTTCTCGTTGATTTATCGAATGTGGCAGAGGGTTGATGTCGGGGTGTTAGTTGGTGCCGGGTTAACTTCTTTTCTTTAGCATTAATGGAATTTACACGAGTTCTTAACACTTTGCCAAAAGTTAGCTAAGCCCAGAAACAAGCCCTTTTGCCTTTGTGGCAGCAACAGCAGGCGGCAACATTGCGGCTGCCGCAAGACTAAAAATTAAGACAATAAATTAAAGCTGCAAAGCAACAAAAGTCGATATTAAAAATAATATATGCATTATTTTGGGCAATAAAAGTGTGTTTTTATTGTCGCCTTTTTGCACATAAAAGCCGCCTCCAAAATCCATTTTAAGTAGACATTTAATTAATTTAAAGAGCTGCATTTCTCTAAAGACATCAATTTTGTTAATTAAGTAGCATTCGAACCTTTTCAAGGACCAAATAATATATACACCGTAGAAAATATGTATATAAAGGAGCGAAACCTACTGAGAGCCAAAATTCAATCAGCTGTGCTTAATGGTTAAGTTTTGGCCAAGTTGTGGGCTTTCATCAGGTTGTTGGTCAGCTTGTTTTATCCCTTTTATTTTATTATCCCCTTCATTGCACAATGGTGCTCGGGGCAAATGTTAAAAGTAAAAGTTTGTTTCCTTTTCTATTTTCCTTTTTTTCTTCCTTTATTTTTGCTCCCTTTTTTTTTTTTTGTTCTCGGTTGATTTTTGTGTTTGCGCAATTTGAATTTTTATCGTTAGTGGCACTGAGAACGTTTGCTGTGCCTTACCGCAACCGCTGCTCTTTCTCTTGGAGGCCAATTTCGATTTCTTCCAAACGATAACTTCCACGTGAACTGGACAAAAACAAATTGAAAAAGTTGAGGTAGTTACGACCCATCAAATGACAACACAACGCAACACAACAAGAACATTGACCTTAATTGCCTTTTTTTTTACACAAATCAATCGATATTTTACACACGCACACACACACACACAGGCACACACGCACATACATTTTTTGGGGCGGAATTAACGCGCTTAGCTTTTTATTTCCTGGTCGCTTTTGCTCTTGCTTTAATTTCTTAGCTGCTGGTAAATGCCAGAGTCCGGGGATAAGCGTAATAAGCCCAAATACGCGTGGACTTAAGATTTATAGTCATACAATTACTCCCAAATGGACGAGTAGATGCTGCAACCCAACCCTCCAAATGACTCCTACTCCTCTCCCCTAAGTGTGTGCTGTCGAATTGTGTGTTTTGGGATTTGGTCCAACTAGTTGGACGGCCAACAAATGCCTCCTAATAGGCTTATCTAGTCACGTAGCCAGCGCAGCACCACAATTTCCTCAAAATAAGCGAGAGCTGCTCAATAACTATATTCATTCATATG